CCCTGGGGGCTCAGCCTGCAGGGTGTGGAGTGCCTGGCCCCTGGGGGTTCAGCCTGCAGGGTGTGGAGTGCCCTGGGGGCTCAGCCTGCAGGGTGTGGAGTGCCCTGGGGGCTCAGCCTGCAGGGTGTGGAGTGCCTGACCCCTGGGGGCTCAGCCTGCAGGGTGTAGAGTGCCTGGCCCCTGGGGGCTCAGCCTGCAGGGTGTGGAGTGCCCTCTGAGACTTCAACATGCTCAGCCTGATGCCTGGGCCTTGCCATCTTCTTTTGGACAAACACGATCTAGGGCTCCCCTGGGTAAGGTGACTGATGACAAGTTCTAGACATGGTTGAGCCTAGTTCTTCTATTTGTGCAAAATTATGAAGCAAAATTTTTTTTAAAAAATGCTAGGTAATTATATCCTTTGAATAGTTCTTCCAAGGCTGGTTAAGAGGGGTTGAGGAGAACAGAATTTAAAAGGAAGCCTTCAAAGAAATTTTCCAGGGTGACGATACGGTCATACGTAGTTTAATTGCAGAGAGGATACTCTAAGCCAAAGGGTTTCCACAGTTGCTTGGAGCAAACGTCCACAGAAGAATTAAGTGTGTTTGCCTACATCTTGCTCATGGTCTATAAGTCTGTCCCTTTTGGCTGTTAGCAGAGAACACCAGGGACGGATGTTGCAGAATAAAAGCAATTTGCATTTTCCATTGCTTGGAAGGTACAAATCTTATTTATTCTGATCTCTGCAGAACTCACAGATCTGCTCATTATCCCAGAAGTTTCCCTTGTTCTCCTAGTGGGATTTACTGTGAGGCCTGGAGGGTGGGCTGGAAGCCACGGCAAGGACCTCAGAGTCTCAGAAGCTTGGATTCCGTGCCAGGCCTTCAACTCCAGCTCTGTGGAGAGGCCCAGGACTCACCCAGAAAGGGCCAATTTGTCTCCCCTCCTCTGAGGCGCAAATCCCCAGCTCCCGTCCTGGTCCCCCGATGTCACCTCCCTGGCAGTGTGATGTCGGGCCACGGGGTTGCGACTACATATCCTCCCAGCATTCGATATTCCCACAGTTTTATTTACTGTTACATCCCATCATTTCTGTGCAGAAGGCAACCGTATGTAAATTTTATTCCGTTTTCTAATGGTTTGGGTTACATAACAAATAACAGCAGGAAGGAAAATTTGTATTGATACTTTACAGAGGAAGTTCTCAAGTCACCGCTCAAAGATTTCACTGCGGTGCTGTGAGTTTGCGGAGCTCTGCAGCTGACTTCTGCCTATGACTCTGAATATGTCACTGTATGTTTATCATGGGCTAATTGTGGAACTACATTTCCACGCTTTTTCTTCTCCTTTCATGAGATTACACCAGCCAGCGATGGATACAAGACTCTACAAGGGAGAAATGATCAGTTTGGGATAATTTTCTTTCCTGTCCCAAAATAGCTGTATGTCTGCATGTCTTAAAGACTCAGCTGAGACACGTTATTTTTTTTTTATTTCTTGCTTGCTCTAATGCAAATACGATTTCAGTCTCATAGTTGGACTTCCCAGCGAGTCCATATTATAAATTAATCAGATTCAACAAACACAACCATTTTTTAAACTTATGGAAAAAAAATATTTAATAGGAACTAAGCAAAAGAAGAAATCAAACCAGCTGCTGACACAGCTGTTTCTTTTCTTGTTTAATTCAGTTCAATATAAAGGTACCATATGCCGCTTAAAACGATGATAGGAAAGATGAAATAATTTAAGAGAATAACAAGAAAATACATGAATTGTCAGCATTCTGTCAGATTGAAAGAATGAAACAGACAGGTGTAGTATTGACATGTTTAACTTTGTGTGGTGTTAGCAGTTTTGGTGTGAACAGCTCCTGACATGTGCTGAAGTGACGTGAGAACGTTTCTCCTCTGCTGCAGACATGGGCGAGGAGGCTGGGAGATCCGCCGGCGTCCAGCAGCCCGCACTGCTTCGCGACCGGAGCCTGGGCTCGGCCATGAAGGACTGTCCGTACTGTGGGAAAACATTCCGTACGTCTCATCACCTTAAGGTCCACCTGAGGATACACACAGGTGAGGACGTGCACGTCCGGCCCAGCTGGGGCACGGCTCGGAGGAGGAGGGGGCACCGCCCGGCCTGGCTTCAGGTCCAGGTCTACAATCAAACACCACAAAGCTCTCCTGGGCCTGTGTCTGTGCCACTGGGGGTGGGGGGGAGAGGTCAGAACTGATCCTAGTTTCCTAATTGGTCACTTAACAGTCACCCTCCCAAGTAACGCATGGCCCACGTAAAATGCAGCTGTGGAATGGCCCCGGCCTGAGATTACAGTGCTTTGTCTGGGTCCAGAACAGTCTGCTGATGGCTCCTTCTGCCGTGTTGAAGGTGCACCCCTCAAACCCTTGTACGAACCCAGACTCCCTCGGCGGCACACAGCAAGAGCCCAGTTCAGTCTCTCTCAGGTGTGTAACAGAACAAAGTAGCTTCCCCGGCTGTCCAGGCAGGCCGGCTGCTGGCCCTGCCCGGTGGCATGTTCATACCTGGGAGCAGGTGGATGGCGTCAGTGCCCCTCATGCTTCACAGAAGGGAGAGGATAGGCCTCTCCCCTGGGTCTCCTCAGAAGAGAAACTGAGGCACTCTGAAGCCCGCAGGAGGAAGCGGCGGCTGGTCCACCCTGGTCGTTTCTCAGGGGCCTGGCAGGAAGGCTTCTCTTTGTCCCCCGTAGCTTCTCTGCGAGATGTTTGCACATTGACAATACCCCCTGCCCCACAAAAAAAAATCTATGTGAGATACGGACACCTCCATTTTCTTTGATTTTCCTCCTGACACTTTGTCCATTGGAGTATGAACGGCTTCAGAGGCTAGACAAATACACCATCTATTTTCAAAAATAATTGTGGTTTATTTCTGAAGGAGTCGATAAAGCTCAGAGTTGTTGCAGGGATATCGAGTATGTACGGGCCTCGTGTGTGCGTCTCGTGGTTAAAGGCAAGGGGGCCCCTCACCTGGAACCTCAGCTGCTGCCCCAGGTCTCTGTGATGCTGAGAGGAGCCTGAGGACAGGCGGACACAGGCCGCTCCTGGCTCAGCACCTGGGCATAGGTGGCCACCGTTGCTGGCCCCTCTCCTGCTGGAGAGCACAGCTCTCACAGGAGACGCCTCTCAGGCCACTGTGCACTGGGCCCTCCCTCGCTCCCCACCACATCCTGCACTGCTCTCCATCCTCTCGTCTCTCTGAAATGCTGCTTGCTGGCCTCCTGGTCCTCCAGCTCGGCCTGTCCCCACGGTAGGACCTCTGTGCCCCGCCTCGAATGTTCTGGGGGGCTTAGCTTGAATGAGAGTGATCTGTTCAGAGAGACCATCCTGGACATTTCCACCACACATATTCCTCACGCCCCCTGCCTCACTTTCTTCACAAGCTTAACGCTTCCAGAAACGATCGTCCTCAGGTTGGTCCCAGCACATCCTGTTCGTCTCCCCCACACCCTGAGCGGAATCTAAGATTTGGGAGGGCAGGGACGGTGTCTGTGTCTGCAATTGCTGTTGTTGCTGCAACCCTAGTGCCTGCACATGCACCTTGTTCCCACCCAGTAGGGGCACGATGAATTTATGTGGAAGGCTGAATGACAGAATCGAAGTTCCAGTAAGTAGGAGCCCTCCTCCCGTCTCCCTGTGCCGTGCAGGGCAGCACGCACGGCTCAGGTGTCGTAGGGAAAGTGGCCTCCTCTCCATGCGCACGTGAACCCACCAGGACCCACAGCCTGCAGTCAGGCTGCGCGTGTGGGGTCCCAGGCACAGATGGAATGGAAGCCCCCACTTCTCAGGAGCACAGGGGAGGTCCCCGAGCCCCTCAGGGTTCCTGCTCTTGGCCCTTCTCTGCCAGGTTCTGCTTGGCCCTCTCCATCCCGCCCAGGGTCTGCAGGCAGTGATGCCACCTTCTCTGGGAGGTGGCCCCTTCCCTTCCCTGCTTCCTCGTCCTCCCTAGGCTTCACCCCTTGGGACTTTGTTGTCACCTGTGTCTACATACTAGACTATGAGCTCCGGGAGAGCAAAGGCCGTGTCTGTGTGTCCAGCTGAGTCCCCAGAGCCTAGAACAGAACCTGGCTCGTGCTGTGTACTCAGAAAGTATTTGTTGGATGAGTGAGTTAGCAAGTGAGCTTGTAAGAGTGACAGGAAGGAAGTCAGCTTGGACATCTGGCTCTCTCTGATCATCCCAATGCCCATTTTCCTCCCCAAACTGGAGCCAGAGTTCCCCCGGGTGGTGGTGGTTGGTGGAAGGGACCCACAGACTTCCAGAAATGGGAGACTGTCGGCAGGGCACCCAGCATTGGGATGTGGGCAGGAGTGAGCAAACCAGGCTGGCTGTGGCTTGTGTCTTGTTTGGTGGAATTGCAGGGAGGGAGCTCAGCAGAGAAAGAAAGTGTTGTCCTCTAACGCTGCTGGGTTTGGCTGACCCCTGGTCCTCATGCCCCTTGGCCACCCATGGGCAAGAGCTGATGCTCTGCAGGTATTTCTAGGGAAATTAGGACCAAGGCGGCCAGAATTATTGGAGAACCTGGGTGGGAGCAAATGGATACTGCTTTTTGCAGTTTTAAAGCTTGGGAAAGCTGCACCAACTTAGGAAGTTTGGAGTCTTCGGCGACAGGGCCATGGACTGAGGCATTCCAGAAACTTCCTAGAAAAGGGAGAAAATGAAAGAAGCCATGGAAACATCACACCACCACCCCTCAGAAACAGCATTTGCAGTGTTTAAAAGGCAGAATGGTAACCAGATAAAGATCAATTTCCTTTTTATCTAAGAACAAAGAAGTTGGAGAATGCTTACACTTGTGCATTTGAATAGAACAGAAAGTGTTACATGTTAGAAATCACCGAAGTAAACATCCATTATGACAATGCGAAAGTGTAGATTACACGAGTAATTAAAAATCAAAATCAAGTTATTTGTTAATAGATGATTTCATGTGGGTCTAGAGCTGGTGGATGCCCCGAGCTGCCTCCTCTGGTCCTGGCTTTGCCGCTGTCTTTCTCCTTGTTCTGCAATCTGAGCTCCAAATACGCTTTTGCATTTTCATATGACGTGTCCAGAGAATAGCAGTTTGTGTTCTCCAAAATGCTCTTTTTTTTGAGACAGAATCTCACTCTATCACGCTGGGTAGAATGCTGTGGTGTCATTGCTCACCGCAACCTCAAACTCTTGGGCTCAAGCAATCCTCCTGCCTCAGCCTCCCCAAATTGCTGGGACTATAGGTACCAGCCATGACGCTCATCTAGTTTTTCTATTTTTAATAGAGATGGGGTCTTGCTCTTGCTCAGGCTGATCTCAAACTCCTGAGCTCAAGTGATCCACCTGCCTGGGCCTCCCAGAGTGCTGGGATTACAGGCATGAGCCACCATGTCCTGGCCCCAAATGCTGTTTTTTAAACTTTCTATATCATTGACTCCATATGAGCACATTTGAAAACCCAGTGTAATAAATATATTTTAATTGGTTTGGACACAAGATGGCAAGCTCCCTGGATGTTTCTGTCCTGCTCCATTATTATTGGAAGTTCTTTTGATCACAAAACATGCACAGATAAAAACGACTTTCCTGTTTCTCTCCACTGCAGTGACTCAGTGACTAAGCTGCTTCTCCTGACATCTGTTTAGGAGAGAGGTGCTGAGGAGAGGCACTTGTCAGGTTGCTCTGAACACTTAGGGGGCTAGGGAGAAGCTTCAGGTAGACAGGAGACTTATGCTGACCTTAGAGCTTCAGCCAGATCCATAGGAAACTGCCCGGGGACCTCCAGAGCCAGTGAGACCCAGGAGGGCACCTCACTCTGGCCCCAGGGAGCAAAGATGTTGGCCGCTGCCCAGCACAGCAGAGGCAGAGTCTCCTCTGGGAAACATGCCTTGGGCTGGTGAGGCTTCAGGCAGAGTCTTTCTCCTCTGGGAAACACACCCTGGGCTGGCGAGGGCTCTGTCCCTGGGCACCGGCAATTTCTCTTATGAGTATCATGGCTGGATTCAAACTCAGAACCTGTTGGTGCAGACTCCAGAGAGAGTATCAGTCAGTGTTCTACACTGAAGTAGGACTTTTCTTTAGCTTTTTTTAATTTCAGGTCACACTGGAACGTATAGTTAAATTTCTGCAGCACACTTAAATTATGTTGATCATAAAAAAAATATACTTACTGTGCTTTGAACTTTTTTGGAAAATAATTTAAGTAGTGATCTTTGAACATTTTTGAGGCATACCTGAGTCATCTCATGTCACCACAGTGTGCCTTGGCACAGCAGTTGAAAATTACTGGCCTGGAAGCAAGATGGGATAGAGATCTCTAGGTAACATGAGATCGGTAGGCAGGCTAGTGGGTTGGTAGATTTGTTATAAGAAATTGGCTCATGTGATTGCGGAGGCTGAGAAGTCCCAAGATTGGCAGATGGCGAACTGAGGCCCCAGGAGAGTCCTTGCTGTAAGGTCCAGCCTGAGTCTGAGCCTGTGTCCCAGGTCGCAGAAGGAGGGGATTGTCTCTTTCTTTCTCAGCCTACTGTTCCATCAGGCCTTCCACAGATTAGATGTGGCCCACCCACAGAGGGCAGGGCACTAACTCGAATGCTGGTCTCCCCACCACAGACACACCCAGAATAATCTTTAACCAAAGATCAAGGCACACTGGGGCCTGGTCAAGTTGAAATACAAAAATTAACCATCACAGAGATGCAGCAGCAAACATTTCCTCATATAACACACATCAGGAAGGAGCAGGGCAGCGGAGTCCCCAGGTCCCCTCTGGGGTTAGCTGGCCCACAGATGCACCCTACTGTTCCCCGGAACATGACTTTTCAAGCTGGACACATGCAGGTACTCCGGAGGTTACAGTGTATTGTGTGTGGGAGGCAGGCAAATGCCGGCAGGCACCTGGAGGGCCAGGGGATGTGGTCTGTCACCCGAGCCCCCCAGGGGTGTGGCACCTGTGCGTGGGCCTCAGGATCAGACTGCTGTCTCAGGAACGACCCCTGCAGAAAGAAATGTAATAAGTAGCCTCACTCCTGAAAACTCGGATGCACAAAAGTTCAGGGACTAATTAAAA